TATAGTATATATATATATATATATATATACACACACATGTATTTCTACTTCATACTACGTGTCTACTGTTGTTTTGCACCATACTTGAAGTACAACTTTGCACATTGTATATTGTTTACAGCTTTGCAGTTATATGAAATGATGCTATATGTTTGTATAGTTTATTTGGGATTAACATTTTTTGTTACAAATAACTCCGAAGTTTTGGTGTCATTGCTACAACTCTGTACTCATAATATCCCATTTGTTTTCGAAATTTGTTTGAAAAACTTGTTGAATTATTCAAACTTGAATTAAAATGCTTTAAACAACCTCTCATGACAGTTAGTTGTCTAAAAAAAACAAACAAACTGGAATTGACGAAACTAAGCCTCATATCTCCTCATATCCAGCAGTGTTAGGAGAGGCGTTTTATCTCCCTTTATTAGATAACATTACCTATTTTTAAAACTCTAGTAAACTACAATTCAATATTTTATCTCTTACATACTTTATAAGACGTAGAATCCCTGACAATTTAATGGCATAAGATACGTTTTCAATGAACTAGTAATCTTGAAAATGGAATGACACGAAACTGATGACCGATGTAATAACAGCTGAATTCACATCTACGAGGTAATGCGATTATCTGGAAAAGTAATTGCTTGTAGAAGAATAACATGCATCTTACACTACATGCTATTCATAATAAATTTCATATAGTTGTTACAGAATTCCAGCCACGCCTAATAACAGGGCTATCTCAAAGTCAACATTTGGCTAGGTTCATCATGAATCCCTATGACACGTAACGAAGCATAAAGTGCTTTCATCCAACTAATCTACCAAGGACCTACGAACTTTCAATTGAAAAGCTGAAAATAAGAAAAAGAGCGGGTTTTGAAAGAACGTTGCCATTCTAGTTTGGCACAATGCTTCTGGTGATTCATTCTGACGTGCAATAGTTTAATTAGATAATATTCTGTGTTGAGACCACTCTGATTATCATTATGTGATAGTTTAATATCAAAAACGTATTATATATATATAGTATAATTCGTGAAATAAAAATGTCTGTGGATGTATTTGGCTTCCTTGAGATAATTCCACTGTCATTTCATTATCACAAGATGCTTTTATTGAACGATATTTGACCACATCTTGAACGCGCTATGAGGCAGATCTAATGGTTTGCACTTTGCCTGGACACGGTTTCTATAAGTAGAATTTGACCTTTCAAAGTTATTCGTTTTGTAAAATTTGGATTTTGCATTGAAATTATAACGAGTCGTATTAGACTATCGTGGACAAAATGTTTTGGATGATATCTGGCTTTTATCTATTTTTTTATAATGTATGTAACTATTTTAAGTAACTTTGCTATAAGATACATGAAAATATGTGTTAATACAATGGTAGCCTGGTGGTTGAGGCACACGACTCGCAATCTGAGCATCGTGTGGTCGAATCCGCGTCACCGAACATGTTTGCCCTTTCAGCCGTGGGGGCATTATAATTTCATGGTAAATCCTACAATTCGTTAGTAAAAAGAGAAGTGCAAGAGTTGGCGGTGGATGGTGTTGATGCCTTTTCTCTAATCTTTTACTGCTAGCGCACATAGCTCTGTGTAGGTATGCGTGAATTTTTTTAAAACCGAACCAATCTTGCGACAATTTGAGAGAATGTATATGACCACAATACACAAATTTTATTGTATGATATCGAGCTATTGCGAATTAATTTCACCACCTGGTGTTCTTTTTTTCTATAATAATGTTTACAATATATTTGTTCTCTGCAAATAATATTTGAACGAGGTACGTCGGATGTTTATACGAAATGTGATTACAAAATATTTCTGTGTTTTATTGTGTGACATTTGCCTCTTGAAGAAATTCCAAAAAAATATAATAAATTTTCTTAAGAAAAACTTTGTTGAGTTTATATAATAATTTCAGCAAGTTATATATGTGACGGATTTATTATTATTTATTTATTTTAATATCAACGTTTGCTTAGATTAAGTTTATATTTAGAATTATGCATAGCTTATAGTGTTAGATATGTACTGCCAAACTTCCGCCTATTCTCTAAAGTTGTAGAAGATTCTCGAGTGTAAGAATCAACAACATATGTATGTACGTAAACTCTTAATGTAGTTTTGTATTGCTACATAATCTGAATTTTCTAGAAACTCTCCACACGCCTATAAATATAACCAACGCGACGCGCCAAAAGAGAGTATATATCTTTAGTTTGTTGTACTCAGCGTGCTATAAACTTCGGAAGCTATAACTGTAATTGTTATAAAGCTTATCGATCGGAAAACGTCAAATATTGGATCAGGAACCTTTACAAAGTTTGAACATTACAAATTATTTAACTTC